AGGGACAGAATGCTGATGTGTAAAGAGCTGTCTGATATCTTCTCGGATCACGACAATTATTTGACGAGTAGAGAGTTGCTAATGAAGGTGAGAGTTAGCTTGGGTGCAAGGCTTGTAATCTCAATCAGTGCTGATGTTAGCCTTTTTTCTAACCCGTTGCCAAAACTCATCTTTCCTTGAACTACTGTGTGCAGTGCTTCAGAGAAGACAGACCTGTGGCTTATAAAAACAAACAAACAAAACAAACCCTATGCTTTTCTGCTGGGATGAGAGGCCGTTTCATTGTTCCTAGAAAGATCTACACTAGCGGTAGCCTGTTGGGCTTAAATACCACAAACAGCAAGGCTGCAGCAGCACAGATTTCTGTGGGGACCTGTTCACAAGAAAGTAGTTCAGGGCCTTCATCAGTCTTGAAGCCCCTCACGTGGAATGTCACGCTGTTGTGGTTTGGTAACTGTTAATACTCCCTTGGGCACAGCTAGGTCTAGCTCAAGGATAGCTGCATAGCTGTGCTTGCACTGAAGCCAACAGATGCTGCACAATGTAATAAGATGAGTTACTAAATAACACTTTGGCTTCCTACTGCTCTGTATAGAGAGAGAAACAGCTAGCTTGCGCAGCCCTTGAGTAAATCTTAAAAGGCTCAAATTTGCACTCATGAGTGCAGAGCGATTCCAAACAAGATTCTCAACTGGGCTGTGCTACTGCAGCGCCTTTGACTTCGCTGGAACAATGCCATTTAGCTTCAGCTGAGGGATTAGACCGGTATGTTCCAACTATCCCTTACCTTTCTTGGAACTAGAAAGCAGGGCTGGGAGTTTTGACAGAACAGGCTTCCTGCTGTGTGTGTGGCCAGATGGCCAACAAAGCACGCTCTGTTTGACAGAGTTTGACTTTTATGCTTGTTGGGTGAACCCCAACAAGCTCAGGAACTTGAAAGGAGTTGAGAAAGAATAGCAAGGAAAGGTTATATCATACAGAGACTAAAGGAAGTTTTGATGGCAAATTTTTTTGTTTACATAAAACTTTCTGTAAACTGTCTAACCGATTTACTTTTTGACAGTGTCTATCTAGTCTACCTGGCATTTGTATCTTGCCACATTGCCTTGATATCGAAACACCTTATTTTGCTCAGGAATGATGGGTCAGCACGTTCGAACCTGTCAGTCTGTTGCTATTTATCATCTATTTAGCCACAGGTGGAGTTTAATTTTAAAGCAGGTGAGACAATAATAAATAGAGAGGAAAACTGTGAGTATGTGTTTAGAACAGCTTGGTTAACTAAATAGTAAAAAGACAAAACAACAATCCAGTCTCAGCCCAGACCTTTTAGCTCCTGCCGAGTCGCTCTCTCCCAGCTGCCGCCAGGAGATTTGCAAAACATTGTGAAAGCAGTGAGCAGAGAAAAATTCTACAGCATAGCTGGAACATCTCTCCTAGTTTTCATCTTGGACCGATTTGGATTGAAGGATTAGTTGTCCACTGAATCCTTATTAAAGTCTTTGTTTTCCTTCGCTATAAATAGTCTCTTCAGGGAAGCTGTGTTTGACCTTGCCTATCCATCCCGTGAAACTTTTACATGTGGAGTAGACAAAACGCCGCGTGAAACAGGCTGGCCGGCGAGGAGAGGGAGCACCACGTTCTCCTCCCCCAACAGCGGTTGTGTTGTGAAGCTGCGGTTTTAGCTTCTGTTTCTGCCCGGCAGCCGCTGTTAGAGAATCTCAAGTTTACCTTTCAGTATCTTGAAGAAATTGAGACTGCAGCACTCCTTTTTCATTTGCTTCTATTTTACAGCCAGGGAAAGAAAGAAAAAGACTTTAAGCGACCTACTTATTTAACTGTGACTGAGAGAAGTAAAAGTTGTAACGAGGGGATCTTGACAAGTGCAAGCTGTTGTTCTGTGCCTCTTAAAAAGACATTGATAATGATTCATGCCACATGTATCTGGTCACTGGAAAAAATAACAGCAACTCCCAGCATCCCATATGGATCCAGGATGAAAAAGGCTGGAGATCTTTTGTGAGACAGACCATCCATTCAGAGGAAAGCTTGAACTGTGGAGATCAAAACCTATTACTTCCATTTCCTGCATGCTTTTGGATTAGTCAACAAGCCACAAAGATTAGTTGCTGGTTCTCTATTTTTCGGCATAAGAAAAACAGCGATGTGTTACATAAGAGGGAGATGTTTACTTGTAGCAGTCCTGGTTAGAAAATTAAAAGAGAGATCTTAAGATCAAGAGTGTCAGGATAGAGTTCAGAGAAGCATCTGGACATGTGCACTGTATTTCAGTTTCTCTGATTTAAACTCTCCGGAGATATGCAATACCACTTAGCTTTGGCTGGACTATAACTATTTTGCAGACAAATTCCCTTAATAGTCATTTTGTGGGATTTTGCCAAAATTCCCAGGCAGTGCAGAAGCCTCAGAAAATTAGCATGTGCACATATACATACATGTACCTGCAAAGAAAATATTTTTGCTGACCTAGCAGGATTAGTTAGGTGTATTTCCGATTATTTTACACAAATGTAGTTGCCAGCCTACCCTTATCAACTCCATTAATTGCCTTTTCATTCCCTCACAGGAAGGCACATCCAAATTTGCAAATCTGGACAGTAGCGTGAAAGAGAATCAGAAAAGAACACAGAGGCGACTTCAGCTGCAGAAGGATATGGTATGTCTCGTCTCCTTGTCCTCCGCTTTCTGAACTGCTAATGTGACTAACCCCATCATTAGTGAATTATGTGTGAAGCAAAATCTAGCAAGGTATTTAACAAAGTATGTGCGCAGTACATAGGGCACTTAAGCGTGCCTTTTGTCACACAAAAATATCACTAATACATCAGTGCTATTGATTAGCCTGCACAAAGCAAGTGAACCGAAGTTTAGATTGAGCATGCAGTCAAAATGCTTGTCCCTGAAAATATCTGCCTCAAGCTGTATTTCCCTTATGCTGTGGTTGATGATAAGCAGTTAACACCATGTGTATATAGTGTATATTTATCTGTATATATAAACAGTTACAAAATGGGATTTGTGCTATACTGTTGCAACCAGCACATGCTGTATGGGCTATGCTGAGCTGTCAAGCTGCGACAGCTGGAACAGTTATCAGTACAAGGCAGCTGTCCGCTTACTGCAGGAAGGCCCGTCTGTTTACCAAAGCGCCAGGGAAAGTGGTTATCCAAAACTTCAGCACATCCAGTGCATTCGGTGAGCTTGTGCTGAGGTTGGTCAAAGACTCCAGGATTTGGTGAACATGAGCAGAGGCCCCATAATGTGCTCTGGCACCCAACTCCCCTTGTTCCCTGCAAGGGGATGAGTGGGCACATGGGACTGCTGCTTCCATCCCCGCTTGCATTTGCTTCACATGCAAACCAGCTGTTCAGGATGCACGCTGAGCCAAGGGTTTGGTCTTAATTTCATGTCTTACAAAAATTTGCTAAACCTGTCGAATGAAAGAGTAATGACCGACTGATGAATATAAACACGTATTCATTGCTTTCAACTGTCTTGTATTCTGTCCTACAGGAAAGAACTCCATTAACTACTTCTGTTACGCTTTAGCCAGAAGTACAGGGGGAACCACACAGCTTTCAGTTAGTGAAATATGTAATGTAAATACTAGAATTCTTATGATAAAGAAAATCAGCTCTGGCCATAGCAGAAATCTCATTTACTTTTTCATGAAGCTTCTGACACATTAGCATGAAAATTGCACAGAGGAGAATGGGATTTTATGGAGATTGCTTTGTATAAATGTCTCTGCTTTCCAATTTGCTACTGAAAACAGCTTTTGTCTCAAAGTTGGCAAACACGGAAAAGAGCAGGGGAAGAGAAAGCTGGGATAGGGAGGCAAAGGTGATGAATATGATTTTTGTTTCAGTTTAACTGGAAAAAATACAGGTCCTTTGGTGCACGTGGCAGAAACGCAAGCGTTTCATTCACAAATGTATAAACAGACTGAAAGTTTAAAATTTGAATCCTAAGTTAATTAAAATGCAGTAACTGGCTGGGGAAGATGTGCATTTCTAGAAGGAAAAAATTGTGACTGTGATTGCGTGATCTGATAACATCATTAAGTTGAAATCCACAGCAATGAGCCAGAGAGAGAAACTGTTTATACAAGCTAGCCAGGACCATTCCCCAGGTCTTTCTTTTGTAGCAGGTGACTGTGGGACCCTTTCACTGGTGCTCATATGCTCCTTCCACAAGCAGGGTTTCCTGAGGACCTGCTGTTGGAAAGCAGTATATGGAACCAGTATTGAAATATATAACTATTCCTTAATATCTGTGCGAGCAGCCTGTTCTCCTTAGAATTGTATTTAAGTGCTAGATTAGATATGGAGAATAATGTGATGAGACGCTGATGAGAGAAACCATATCATTTATAAGATCTCTGTTTTGTTGAGCAGAATACTTTTATTTCATATTTTATGCAGCAATATTGTAGCTGGTGCGTTATTACTGTTTCTCAATCAATTAATTCAACGTTGCTGTGATCATTTGCAGGGAGTAATGCAGGGCACAGTACCGTATCTTGGTACCTTCCTCACTGATCTGACCATGCTTGACACAGCTCTTCAGGACTATATCGAGGTAATTTTGCACAATTTTTGAGTCCTACACATTCTCCCTGTCTGCCCAGCACTGGGTACATGCATTTCTCTATCTTTCACTGGGTTCTCATGCAGTTTTGACAAATGGTGGAATGTGGTTTCAGTAAATGGAGGGAATATGCAGTTTTATTAGTAACAAGAATCTTGTGTGAATTCAAGAGTGTAGTTTATTTAAAATGACATGCTCAGCGTTGTTTTTGGTCTTTTTTAGTTAGAAACTCGATGAAAGTAGGCGGCTTCCCATTATTCTGTTTTATTTTATTTATTTATTTTTCTGAGAACAGCATTTAGGTATAAAGATCCTGTGAATAACTGGGAAAATACACAGAATCACAGCTTCAGCTCATCAGACAGATCACTGAAGTTCTTCCGTATTATCTCAACTCAGAAGCATTTGAGCCCTCAGACGGATAAAGGCTTTATTTCCCTTTTCTCTTCAGCTGAACAAGCAGGGGGAAACCAGTCTAGCATAGGAAGGGAAGGAGGGAAGGCAAGAGAGCCTGGCCATGTAACAGAGACCGAGGATGGGACCACAGCTTCCGCAAAGGTTAAAGAATCTGAACAGTGCAAAGAGGAATGAGGAGAACTAAGTGAATTTCAGGGATTACAGAGAAATTAGGGAGAAACGAGAAATATATAGCAAGGGAGAATGTACAGTTTGGGGAGGAAACTGGTTCTGTATTAGATCAGCAGTTACAAACCTGGGCACCTGAAGTTAGGCACTTAAATCTGTATTTAAACAGTTAAGTAAAAAATGACTAGATTTTCAGACATCTTAAACCACCTTCCATTCGTACTGAAGCTATCATGAATTGTAAGTACTCAATGCCTTTGAAAATTGGCTCCCATTAATGCAGACACTTCAGGAGCCATGCCTTAGGCGCTCAAGCTCGGTTATGCTGGTGTTGATGTTTATGATAAGAAAGTGCAAAACCACTTCTATCTGGGCTAGTAACGGTTGCTGGTATTTTTGCGAAACTGCACTGAAGTGAGCATGCCTAAGGTTCATATACCTCCATTTTCTTTTTTGCGGTTTCCCATTTGTCTGTGCAATTGGTTCAGCTGGTGTTTATGAAACTCATTGGGAACACCACTTGAGTCACAGTGTAGGCAAAAGCCAAATTTGTTTCTTGCATGCAAAACTGTGCTAGCATTCTTCAGACTTGATCTCTACACACCTTTTGTGAGCATTCCTGTATTGGGCTTTTTTCTTCTTGGGCAGATTGCCATTTAGGCCATGAGGACAAATATTCTTTGGAGACTTGTATACAAGTGCTATGGTTTTTACCAGATCTGAAAACAGATTATTTTTAGGAAAAGGTCCTTGCTCAAGGCAGCCTGTGCTTTACGTTAGCTTTGCTAGTTCATCATCCTGTTTGTGATTAGATCCAACTGAACATGTGGTCTTCTCTGATTCTTTTTCTTTGCTTCCAACAGGGTGGCCTGATAAATTTTGAGAAGAGGCGAAGGGTAAGTTGAATGTTGTGTGATGTTTAATTTACTGAGGCTTCTAGAGAATTCTCTTGGAGAGGTTTTTGACTTTCCCCAGGCATTTACAACAGCTGTTAATTTTAATTCGAGTTATTTGTACATGAGGAAAGAAGAACAGACCTCTGAAAGGCTGTGAGCCCATGCCAAACTGCAAAGTGTGGCACAGGAAGAGCACCTTGTTTTTCAGATGTGTACAATAGGGGAAGAGGAATTGCAGGCCACTTGCTTCCATCCCGTTTACATCTGTGGCACATACATGTCTTTGCCTCAATTTGATGTTCATGGGAAAGTTTTGTCCTGTGGGTCAAGGGTGGATCAGACCTGGGGGCATGTGAACGTTGCTTTTCAGAAAATACAGCTTGTGAGCTTCTTCCTTCTGCTGCAGCAAGCTGCTGTGTAGACAAAAGGCTGCAGAGATGAGGGAACTAGGTACCAGGCAGGGAAAAATGCTATGAAACTTTACTTTGAGCCTGATCCTTGTTGGTTAAAGAGCGAAGTAATGCTATGCAGGAGGCAACGTACTAAGGTCACATCTGTCTGAAGAAAATAATGCCAAATCTCTGTTGTGGAGTCTCAAAGCAGACTTTGATTTGGTTGTGACGGAGCCATTTCCTTCCTTTAACTGATTCCCAGTTCTATAAACTGTTTCTTGAACTTGCCTTTTATTTACAGCTGCATGGCTCAGGCTATTAATAATGATACACTAGCTTCTCCTCCTTGGTCATCAGTCCAGTTTCATACAAAGCAGCAGCAAAGCTGCCCTCTGAACCATGCCGAGTACTCAGATCGGTTCCTGCAAAATTATTTTGGCAAAGTATGTACGCAAGTGGAGTTATGTAAGAGTAGCACATTCCATTCAGTCATACCAAGGGTATCATTTTATCCTCATTTTGTGCAAGTGTGAGTGCACAAAGTACAGCAGACTCTCTGCTTTCGTTACAGGCACCCCTAATTATTCCTCGTTCGCTGTCTGAGAACTGCCTAAGTACAGAGCATGAGTCTTTGCTCAGAGCTGATCTGCCCAGCTCAGGGATGAGGCGAGTGGGTAGGATAATGTGAAGATCTATGACCCTTTGCCACTCATGTTTCTAGAGGATTTCAACCTGCAATGCTGCTGTTCAGTCATTTTGCACTTTGGTTGGAACCTGGGAAAAGCTCTGTGGTATGGTACAGTTTCTAGCGCTCAAAGATGTTTATCTTCTAATCTGTGCATCTTTGATAAAATGTTCACGTTTCAATGCACATTAAGGATTGACCAAAAAAAGACAGATTTTGTTGTTTGAAAAACTGCTTTGTGGCTCTTGAAACAGCCAGTTACTCAGTTGAAACTGAACCTGAGGTCCCACTAAGTTTGTCCTGGGTCTGTTGTTGAATGCGTTTAGCACATGAACGAGTCTCTGCTAGTCTTTATCTTGTTTTCTAATTAAAATTCCTATTTGATTATTTATTTCCTTAGGAATTTGAAGTAATTGCCCAAATCAAGCTCTTGCAATCTGCATGTAACAGCTATTGCATGACACCAGACCAAAAATTCATCCAGTGGTTCAGGAGACAGCAGCTTTTAACTGAGGAAGAGAGGTAAGGCTATCGATCCAGTTGGTGAAGCAGGCTTTTCTTATCCCACGCTCATGTGAATGAGCTATGTGAGCTTTAGATAATCTCTTACTGGAACTTACATACGCTGCTAGTCAAGGAGAATGAAAATACATATGCCTTCTACTAAACAGCTGTAGAAAAGCCGTTTAACACGTAGCAGGATTTAGTTTTGAGATTGGAAAAGATGTTTCTGACTGAAATACGACAGTCTGCTGTGTCTCGCCTCTCCGTGCACCCAGACATGCGTGCTCAGAGGACAATCCCAAGGGACATCAAGATGCAGTCACTGAGCGATCGGCTGGCAGAAGCTGCCAGCGGGGTAGCCAAAGCAGCACACAGCTTGTTGAGTGCTGACCGGTTAAATAGATCCCTGGCGTTTCTGGTGGGTTTTGGCAGCACTTGCCGAGTTCTATGCTACTGCACGCACTGCTAGCCCAACCCAAAACAACTTGTTTAAGGCATGTTTTAATATCTACTAGATATTAGACGTTTTTAGTCTTTAAAACTATTTTAAAGGAGTGAAGAATCCCCTTTGCAATGGTAATATGTGGACAGTTCCTCTCCGTATAGTTACAATCTTCTGTTGAAGTGGGAATAACTGAAGATTTCTCTATCTCTCTGGAATGTTGCAACTTTGAGATATATAGCTAATAGCATTGTCTTTAAAAATTAAGCCAGTTGTCTCTGTTCTGCAGTTACAGCCTTTCGTGCGAGATTGAAGCAGCTGCTGACACTAGCACCACATCACCGAAACCTCGGAAAAGCATGGTGAAGAGGCTCAGCCTGTGAGTACAACAGAGGGGCTAGTGGCCTTTGGTGTGTTAGTATGAACCTGAATAAATCAAAGAAGAAATATTCACTTCACTAGCTGAGAAACTTGGCTGGGAATCCAGACCATTGTGTTACTTTAAAGAGACACTGTCAGCTAGAAATTCTTACTTCTGTCTGAAACGGTCCCTTTCTATTGTTGTAAGTAATCATGAAGATTACTAATGATGAAAGAGATTAGCAAAAACAAGCCTTTTTAAGGCGCCAGAAAAAGGAACAATTTTACTGCTGGATTATAAATTCAATATGATATTGTGTAATAACTTCCCTGAATGCAAAACAGAGTAAATGAAGATAAAGTCTGGCCTATTATTAGTCTCCTTTACTATACACATGCAAAAATTGCTTGCAGGATTTTAATATGAAAATTAAGGTTAGTAAAATGGCATCAGATAATAGAAATAATCTTCCAAACTGCCTTCAAGTTAGAGAAGTAAAATAATCATAGGACATGGTCTAATTCAGTCTAATAACCTTAAAGATTCAAACAGGAGGTGGGTGAAGAACAGTGGCACGTAGCTAAGGAGACAAGGGAAACAATAGACTAGCAGGAATCCAGGGAAAGCGGCAGGGAATGAAAGGCAGAGATCAAGGGGCAAAAGTAAAAATATCTTAAAGGTGAGGAATTTCAACCTGATGTGAGAAGAGGTAGGAAGGGACTCCCACATACCAGTGGCATGATCAAGACAAGGGGAAAAATGGTGAATTTAACAGCACTGTCAGCTCTTAACTCTTCTTTCCTGCTCGATTCTTTTGCCTAGTTTCTTCAGAACAGCTGGTAGACATTCGCTTCACATCAGTAGTATTTCAGGTTAGGGTCTAAACGAAGAATGGACTTTTCAGTCAAGAGATTTGAGCCCTGATATGCCAAAAATCAGGGTAGCTGTTTGGAAAGTGTTTCGATTAGTCCGTCCGAGTTGGTAGTGAAAAGTTAGGAGGACCTGCACTTTGAAGATGAAGGTGTCTGAACTCAGTTGCCTCTCCTATACATCTGCTTGGCTCGTGCCTGAGCTGTGCGTAAGAATCGTCACTGCTGAGCACTGGCTTTATTCTCTCCTTTTGGACTACCTTTCAGTGCTGTGGTATTGTAATTTACCATAGCATCATCTGTGTTTGCACCGTGCAATATTTGTCTGAAGAATTGTTTCATGCACACTCTGAATATATGTTGCAAATTAATAGTGTAGAAGAGACTATCGTAATTCTTCTCGGAAACAGTGAGTGACACCTTTCTTGTTTTAAATCATTAACTGGGTGCTGACATAACATCTAATTCGCCTTGTTCCCCTACCTTATGCATTATACAAGCTTGTTTCCTTTGACACTCCTTTAAATTTACTTGACCTGCATTTAAAAATGAGTCTTGGAGAGAGAGAGCCTATAATTTACACTTTCTTGTGATCTCCTCTTTGGGTACACGCACATTTAGCCTCTTAGAGAAAAACTGGTATCTGGGGCAACTTTATGGAGTGAAAGAATTTGCAGCAGGGGTGAATTTGCATTTGGAAGGCCTTTGCCTGGTAGATGGTCGTGCGTTACCTTTCATGCACTCTTCCACTAACTCGTGGTGACTGAATACGTCTTGAGATGCCCTGAGTCAGTGGGACCAGGACGTGACAGCAGTGCGTAGGAGCGCGTAATGTGGAGCCAGCTGCCAGCCCTTTAACTTGCACCTCTTCCCATGGTTTGTAAACACATCAAGTCAATCATTCCCTGGCAAGCAAGTCAAGGGAATTTAAAAGATGGAAAGGGAGTCTAGTGCATACCACTCACGTATTATTTGGCCTTGCATCTGGTACGTATACTAGGTCAAGAAGGTATTGTGTGTGTTAGTGTTTAAGAAATTCTCTTGACAAATCATATAAACATTATGGAGGAAATGAAAACAATAGGCTGCTCAAGATAGGAAAACAAAACAGAAAAAAAAAGTTAGATTTTTGAACCAAGTGACAGCTTTGCTCAACCTAGCACTCTTTTGCTTTCACTTACTGGCTGTTTATGCTTTGTTTTCTGTACTAGACTGTTCCTCGGATCAGAGGTGATCGCCAATAGCACACCCACCAAAGAGCAACCCAAATCTACTCCAAGTGGGAGCTCTGGTGAAAGCATGGACTCTGTCAGTGTTTCATCGTGCGAGTCTAATCATTCTGAATCTGAAGAAGTCTGCATCACTCCCATAGACACTCCTGATGAGCCTCAGAAAAAGGTAGTCTGGGACTCGTTGCCAGCACAAATACCCTGTGAGGGACTGTCGATACTTGCAGGCAGGAACTAGATGTTTGCTCAAGCCCATTTGTTAGTCTTGACTGGAGTCTTGCTTTTAGTGCAATGGAGAGACTCTAAAAATAAATAAATGTACAAAAATGGAAGCAATCCAGTCAGGCTTTTTGCGTGATCTCTTTTGTGTTGCCAAGATACAGGGCAGATTACTTTTCCTTCCCTGAAACCAGATTTTCTTGTGGTGTCTGACAGAGTTTTTGGTTTTCGATGAGGCTCTGTAGGAGCATAAGGTTAATTTTTCTTTCAGTTCCTGATCATTCTTTTTTGAGAGGGATGGGGCAGACTGATGGCGTTCCTACCTTAGAGACTGTGGGAAGCGGGCTGGAGCAGTCTGAGCAACGTGCCTCCAGATATTGGTGCTTCTCTCCAGCACACGGTAGCGTGATGTTAGTAGTGACATGGACAAGAGGATTTATAAGCTCCCGCAAACAAAAACAAATGAAATGGGAGAAGAATCATTTGAAGATGATAAAGATCAAAAGCTAGTCGTTTCCTCTTAGAATATCTCAGGTTCAATGAGTTGATCTGCTGTTAGCCGCCTGCTGCCAGGTTCATCATGCTGAATCACTGGAAGCAGCTGTTGCTGGAAAAAGGAAGCTTTGCGTCAGCAACCATATGCTCGCTGAGGAAAGCCCAGCTGCAATAAATAAAGTGGCAATTTCACTCCAGCAAAGGTGTTTTTTCTGGGCACGAAAGCTGGTGTGTATTAGTGACACCATTGTGTAATCCTGGGGAAGGCAGAGCAGCTGTAGTTGGCCACATGGCAGGTGGGTAGTTAGGTGAGTGCTTGCCAGCCTCACAGGTTTGACCGCACTTTAGCTCCCTCACGCAGAGAGGAGGGTCTTGCCTTGACTTGGGTGTTCAGGCTAACTCCCACTGGAGAAAGCTAGTAGAAAGTAGCTAGTGCAGTTATGAAGGCAGCTGTCACACTTCCTCCTGCACACCAGCTTTCTGTGGGTGCTCTCAGCATGAGCTGCCAAGTCTCTTACCTAAAGACACTTCAACAGCGTGCCAGTAAATCCCTTTTTTGGCTATGAAGGCAAAGCTTGCACACTGGCAGCTGGGATGTCCCACAGCAAAACGAGTATAAAAATGAAGCTGTGGGTGTTCATGCCACAGCGGATGTGCCAGGCATGCTCTGTTACCTTCAGGAGACCAGCAGAAGGGATCTGGAGGGGGGATCCACAGGGAGGTCTTTCCTATAGGCAGACTCTTCCCTTTTGACCTAAGCTGCATTAATTGCATTGGTGAAGGGCCTTTTAGGGATATTTTGCTGAAGAGTGATATGTTGGGGCTTGCCTTAGGGGTATTTTAAATTAAATTGCACTAAATGTTCTTAAACGCAAATTAAGTGCGTGGTCCCAGATGCTGGCACCCATATAATTAAGTTGCTTGAATTGTTTATGTAGAACAGTTGTTACAGTGCTTTAAGTGAGCAAGTTGGAGAGGGACACTCTCCTGGCAGTTTTTGAACAGGCAGATGAAGAAAAAGACAAGACCCTGAGCAGTAGGGGACGGGAAGGAGGCAGTTTCCAGTGAGGAAAGAATATTCAAGGAGAAGTGGGAGACAGGGAGGCACGCGTGTGCTTTTTCACATCAATTACAAGTCCAGCTCCCTGTGTAAAAGGCTCCAACTTGACGCAGGAGAGGAGGCGCCCACTGGGCTCTCTGCTCTTTCCAAATTGTTCTCAGTCCTCAGTTGGAAGCCCACAACTTCATTTTGCTCGTTGTATCTGCTGCCACCTCCTGGCCTGTTCGTCTTAAGAGTGGCAGGGCAGGACACAGGCAAGAGCAAAGCAGCACAGTCTCCAGCACAGAATTGAAAATAAATTTTCATTAAAATGAAGAAATTACTAATTCAAGTTCACTTTTTGTAGCAGCAAAGAGTACCACTGCCAGCCCCCTAGACAAAGTAAAGATAACTGAGGCTTTATATGTATGTGCCTCATGCTTCCTCAGATTCCTCCTCCAGAATGACCCCAAAAAAAAAAAAAAAAAGTGTCAAGTTTATGACTGTGTTTTTCTTTCTTTCTGTTATGTAGCTCTCTGAATCCTCCTCCTCCTGTTCCTCCATCCATTCCATGGACACGTCTTCCTCAGGGGTGTCATCGTTAACCAACGTAATCTCATCCCCTCCCTTCTTGTCCTCCAATCCCAAGATCCACAAGCGCTCTATCTCCGTGACATCCATTACCTCAACAGTACTGCCTCCTGTTTACAACCAGCAGAATGAAGATACATGCATCATCCGAATCAGTGTAGAAGACAACAATGGCAATATGTACAAAAGCATCATGGTAAGTGGCGTGGAACAGCAAAATACTCTTATCGTTGGTGATATGTTTTCATTCAGGGCGACTGCTAAAACCCAAGGTCTCAGCCTTGGTGTGAGTAAGAGCAGCCAAGATATGAAATAACTATGGATAGTCTGTGTCCTTGATTCATGCATGCAACTTGCATTGACAATCTAGTATTTACAGTACGTTCCATCTTCTAAAAAAACTTCCTGGTATTTCAGCTACATGCTGTTCATCACTCATCCTGAACTGCTGGGCAATGCAACTGGAAGCGTGCATTGCGTTCTGCAGGCTTGGCGGAACATCCTGGGGGCTTGGAAGCAACCACCGTTCATTCTGTGTAGATTTATGTTTACTCACACTGGTTAGCGGTGAGACAATTTTAAAAGATGACTTCAGGAGTTTGTGACAACGACCTGTTTTTATTTTAAAGTTTGCCTCACTTTTCACATTAGAATACATCTGAAATTACTGTTTTTGAAAAAAAAAATCATTTTCTGTTGTAAAGACTTTGCAAAATGCTTTTAGTTTTGAAAATACCAATTTATTAGGCCAATTAATTAAAACTGGCTTGAAAGTGAGAACAAGTATGCTCTTAAAATTCAAAATATATGGAGAGTGATTGATATGAATGACAGTTATGAAAATAGCAGAGGATCTTTGTGAATGGTCCTAGTTTTGAAACTGAAATTTGTGTTTTATCAAAAGTTCTAAGTGAAATGTTCTCCTCAAGTCAAGTATTTGCTGCTCCTTTCCCTCTGCTCTAGAGCTAGTTGCTTTTTCTCTAGTCTGGAATTGAAGTGTGTTAGTTTTGACCCAAGATGATGTGTGAGGTTCTGCCTGAAGAAGTCTTCCCAGGAGTTAGGTCCTGCAAACAAGGAGGGGGTGCCCCAGGAAGCTGGCAAGCCCTTTAATTACACAGCTTCTCTCTGTAGTGAAGGTGGCCGTTCATTAGCAGTGGACTCTGGCCCCCTGCTTTGTGGAGTCCTCCGTGCTTTGCTCCCACTGCTCTGAAATCAGCATCAGGGTTTGAACTCTGTTTAACGGGAGAGGGTCCAGCGGCACAGCGCGGCCCTTCGTGGCCGAGGATGCGCAGCGTGCTCCCACAAAGGCCTCTGTTCCCACTTGTTGCAAAGGGGAGGCAGTGCTGTGCCCAGCTGGTAAGAGCTGGCTGAAAGGCTGCAGCTTGTAGGTATGAAATAAACCAACTCTCAGGTTTTACCCCTGATGCTGGTTCCACCGAGGGATTTGGAGAGTGCCGGGTCGATAGTCCAGGCTGTACAGGGCTGTGCTGGCAGTGCTTGTGCTGGGTAAGTGCCGGGGGTGGGGCGGGGGGGGGGTGGGGGGGGGGCAGCAAGAGGGCAGGGAACAAACACACACGGGTATTTCTTAGCACATTCAGTAATTTTATGATTTTAAAGGAACTGACACCCCAAATTGCAAAGAGCCGTTCCCTCAGGGCCTGATAAATTCTGGCAGCAGTGAGACAAATCTTCATTTTTCATTTCATTAGGTTCTGGAGAGATCCCTGTGTGTGCTCCAGATGGACTTCCAGCACTTCCATGGCAGACAGTAAACTAAGTTCCAAGGCCAGAAGTCTTTGCAAGATGTCAAAGACAGAATTTAGCACATGAGAGTCCAGATTAATTGATGTCTGCAAACAACAGATGGGGCACTTATTTATGTGGAAGTTTATGGCTAGTGAGAGCTACATCTCATCTCTCAGAAGTATTTGCTCAGGGGAGCAGACACAGTGTGATTTAATGTTGTCTCTGCTAGTACGGTATCTGTTGCCTTGAATTAAAAAACAACAAATGTCACAAATACCATGCTTTAGTATCTAGCAGTATCTATTACTTCAGTACTGACTCACCATAATGTCTTGGTTCTCTGAAATCTTTTCCAACACCCAGCAGTGAATTGAAATAGACTTTTTCTAGTTATTAAATCATAAGTATTATATAAAAAGTGAGTAAGCAGAATCTCTTATTGCAAATTTGTTTCTACAGCTAACTAGCCAAGACAAAACGCCTGCTGTCATCCAGAGAGCTATGTCAAAGCACAACCTGGAATCTGACGCTGCTGAGGATTATGAGCTTGTACAGGTCATCTCTGAGGACAAAGGTAAAGCAGGAGACAAGCTCTGCATCCTAAAAACTGGTAGAGTTTGCAGGCAGGAGTAAAATGTGAAGCAACTTTAGAACTGCTATAGTCTTGTTGTCATATGTTCTAGTGAGACTAAACCTCTAGTTAAAAAAGTGACGTGTGGGGATGATTTACCATGGCCTGTCAGCGTACTGCTTTAAAGGAGCACAGGTCACACGTGGTTTTCCAGGTAGTCCTCCACACGTGTGCTGCGGCCTATGGAGCTATCTTCTGAAAAGAAGCTACTTGATTTCCCTGGAAAGCAGTTTACGTAAAGGGGCCTAGTGACCACCCAAAGATTACAGCAAGCCCAGATTCTTCAGCTGTGCAAATGCAGAGCTTTTCGCACATGTGTAACAGCCTCAGTTTGGAGGCTGTTTTTCAGAGCCTATGCCAGGCTGGGCTTGGTCTGGGTTTGGTCTCTACCTCTTGGCCTCAACCAAAAAACAACCCTTGTTTTTGTGGAACTACTTCCCATGGTTGCCAGCTGATGCAGCTTTAGAAGCACAACAGAAAAAGGAAAGGGGTTAGCACAGTGCCACACGACACAAACTTCTGTGTGTTCTTAACAACCTTGCAACAAGCAAGGTGGTGCATTGAAGAATCTGGTCAGTAAGTGACACTGGCATTAATGAAACTGTTGTGAACTTGCTGCTGTTGTGAATGACATGATTCTGGGCTGCTTCACCACAGAAGCCGCTCTGTTGTCCTGAATAAATGCACAGCAAAGCTGAAGCCTGACTGTACAGCCAGCTACGACACTGGCCAGACTTTGCTTATCTTTCTTTGTAACCTGTACAGTGATCTTTCTTTTAGGTCTAACAGCATTTCTTTTCACTAAGGGACGGATAAGAAACCACTGTATCTAGTCCCTGATAAACATCAAACTGGCCTATTGCTAGCCCTGCCTGGCTGTGTATTCTCAGTCTATTCACCAGATTCCTAGTTTTTCCTTGCTTTAATTCTGCTATTAACGATCCTGTAACCTCTTACTGTAACTCTTGTTCTGCTCCCTCTTTTGCAGAGCTAGTGATCCCAGACAGCGCTAATGTGTTCTACGCCATGAACAGCCAGGTGAACTTCGATTTCATCCTGCGGAAAAAAGCTTCAGTTGATGGACAGGTGAAAATGAGGAGCCGATCGAGTTTGACACTCCCCAGAACTGCCAAACGGGGGTGCTGGAGTAACAGGCACAGTAAAATTACACTTTGAAGGGGACAAGTCCACATACAGGAGAACTGGTTGAGAAAAGTACCTTTGTTACCATCCAGTATTACAGAGTCGCAGCAGATGAATGTGTCAGTATTCACCTTTGAAAATATTTGAGACTGAAATGCAAAGCAAGCGTTTGCCAGACCTGCAGCCAGAGGTGTCTCTCTCCTCCCCTGCAAGTGGAGGTAGACAGACAGAAATGGATTTATGAGACAGTCTGGACTAGGATTTTTTTTTTTCTTTTGCACATTAGCCTAGGAAGGTTAGGGCCCCATTTACAGGGGAAAACAGGACTGGTTGTCTTAAGAACACCGCATAAGCCAACTCTTCTTGAGCAAAAACATTTTCCTTTGTGCCAGTATTACACAGAACATCTAAATTTATTTTTATAAAACTGGAGAAGAAAAATCACAATAAAATTCTGCCTGAACCAAGGAGGAGGATCCCAGCCAGCCTCCAGCTGACTGAGAGCACTGGTCTGCAGAAGGTGTGGGTGAGCTGAGAGCTACTAACAATTGCTGCCTCCAGGAGGCATTTGCGTTCATGAAGAAGCAGGGTGGGTATGTCCCCAAAATACTCATCTCTGGAGACAAAAGAAGAAACTACAATCCTGTGTATTGCTTTCACACAGCTGGCAATTTTTTTTTTTGCACTTGTTCAAAGCCAGAAAAAAAAAAATACCTATTTTGGATTTTTTTCCAAAGAACATTAAAAGAATGACTGCACTTGCTTTTGGATGAATGTCATGATTTGTTAATGAACAAGGCAAACTCGAACACTACTTGTCTGGATTGTTCTTGTCTTAATGCCACTACATTGTGGTTTTCCTTATGCTTTGCTAACCTATGGACCAGAAGTTGATGCCTTTTGCATGTACTCCAAAATGACTGATGTACCTCTTTGTAATGTGCAATCACTCTTCAGGAGCAAAACTTTTGCCTGCATTAATGCACATTTTCATTCCATGAGAAGCAACTACATTACCTTTTAAAAATGTGTATTGAGAGGAGACAGCCAGGTTTACTGTATTGCCCAAAACAACCAGAGATTTTTTTTTTTTTATATACTTGTAGCATTATTATGCGTAACCTCCAACCACCTTCCTTGTTCTTTATATACATCTATTACATGAATTTCCTGACATGGTACATCCTTTCAGCTGGAATAAAGAATTTAATCATATGTTCTCTGTGAAACTTTAAATACCCTATTTCTAAGTCTCTTGCCAGAATACAGGCTTCCTTGAAAGGACACAGGGGTTTTAATTTTAAAAAGCCATAAATGAGAGATTGGATTGTAAACAGCCCTTAGTGAACAGACTGTCTTTGGGAGGCATTAGTATTAGGTAAAATAAACTTAAATACTGAATTTTATACATGTCTGGGGCATTTTTTTTTTTTTAAATCAGGTCTATAGCAGTAAATTTCAAAGCTGGCCTCAGGTTATGTTAACAGTCAGTGATAAACTCATGATGCAAAAATGCAAAAACAGTGTTGGGTCATACTATGCTTTACGTTATTTAAAGATTTATCATCGCCATTTACAAATAGCACCATGCCCTCTACACTCTGAATAGTTTAAAAACATAAAGAGTATTTTTACTGAGGGGGTAGAGAAAGATGTTGAGTTTATAACTAACCGAGCCTTAAAAACCTGCCCTGAATTAGCACACCATTACAGTAGCAGTCCAGTTCACTTTGTATTTCAGTGAAAGCATGCATTGATGTCTATACAGTCATTTGTAAAGTATGGCCGCACACAACCTGTCAATGTGCAATACTATATTAACACAAAAGGAAGATGATTTTTTTTTTTAAGTTGCCCCCCCCCACCCCTCAGAAAAGGTTATATACAAAAAAATTTTCTTCTTACTTACCTGTAATCATTATACACGCTGTATAATACAAACTTTTTCACAAACATTTGCCTGAAGTTAGTCTATTTTTCTTCTCCTAGGCCTTATTACTACTGCCTTTTGGTTTTTACACCTCATGCCTCATCTTCATTTTGATCTCTGTTGCTCTCTTCAAATTCATCGCTTTTAGCATCTTAACTGGTCTCAACTTCTTTCAGCTCCCATGACTCATCTTCATATCTAGCCACAGAACCTGAAATACAGCATTTCTTAAACCCTTTTGTTAAGCATACGTGTCCTTCAGCATTGTTTAACGCTTCAGCCTCATGTACAGTAACAATTTTACACTGTTTGTTACTAGTGTCAGCATTACTGTAATGCTTTTTTTTTTTTTTGGTTCATTTGTCAAAGTTTTTAGGATGATCGATTCTAGCTGTTTCTTCAACAATGTAGCTTGAAGGCCTGTCAAAGTAAACCAGTGTCTCATCTACATTACCCATTTAATGGCAGCAGATGGTCAGGCTCCTTGGGCAGCAGATGGTCAGGCTCCAGTCACACACTGCTGGAATGCAATGAGCTCCTTGGTGAGGACTGAACTAATGTTAACAAAGCCCAAAAAAACAAAAACACCCCCCCTCACCCCCAATCCCATTGCATCATTCATAGCACCAACCTGTTACTTGCTGTGGACTAGTTTGTGCTATTCATTGATTTCCTGTTTAACCACCTGGGTAACTTAGATTACATACAAATGCTACACTGTGTTGTTCTTCATAAAAGCAGTCGCTTTTGGGTCACTCACTCAATGATTTCTGCAGCAACGTAACACATAAAGCTGCTGTTTGGTTGAGTGTTTCTATCTACACCCTTTTACCGCCATCATGTTATGTTTCCTCCTGGCCTCACAACTGTTCAAACTTTTGTTTCTGCACAAAATAAATACCAAAAGTTTGATGTTTGCAGCACAGCTGCTCCTTACCGATTTGGTACAGTCTCTTTTTCACTTGTTCCCCCGTTCCCCTCTCCCTCCCCACCCCACAATGCAGAGGCTCTGCCCTTTCCCAAGTCACTTTAACATTGGAGGAGAATAAAACTGCCAAAAGTCACACTGGGCTTCGCCGAACCACAGCGCGAGTATCCTTCGCCACGAAGGGGCCTTGCATGTTACAAGAGCACTTTGAATTTGCCATAACCTCTCCCTTCCACTGCCAGCCCCCGCCCCCAGCTTTTGTTAAAGTACTTGGGGGGGGAGGGGGAACACCACCCTGCAGGATAAATATTGGATAAATAATATTGCAATCTCTGAATTCGTATTGCTGTATTATTTATACTGTACTAGCACTTTTCCTTTAAGCAAAAGCAAAGAAAGCCATTTGATTATGACCAGTCTTATTGCAGATAAACATTTTTAAGGACTGTCTTCGTGACATTTCTTGTGAACAAGAGGGTTTTGTTTATTCTTCAACTGTCTTGCAGCTTATTCTGTCAAACCTGCGTCTAGAGTCCACTAATCCGTCACGAGCCTCACCACGATCGGCACCCTGGCGTCTGGGGCCCCCTAACCCGTCGCGAGCCTCACCACGATCGGCACTGGCTGCTGTGTTCTCAGCCGCTGAGGCCTGGGAGTCACAGGAGCTCCCCGGAGCTTAGCACAGATGCACTACAGCAAAGCAAAAAAACAAAAGCAAAAACAAAAAAAAACGCAAACAAAAAGCCCCCCCCTTGGTTCATTAAGCTGTCTGACAAAGTCTTAAAATTACCTGTCACGGTTTGCTAACAAGCTCACTTTCAAGATGTGCAGCTCTGTGGCTGTCCCGCCCCAGCAGGTAGGTGGTGTGAACAGCCCAGATGCCCGCAGGCCACCTCATGCCCTGCTCACACTGCGCCAGCTGGTCCCCCCCCTACCCCCGGCCCAATCTGGCCCTGAGGCTCGTTCCCGTGGGGGGCGCGCACAATGTGCAGGACCCCAGGGTTACCCAAGTACTATAAAAGCTGGGCTTACAGGAGGGTTTGTGCTGCTCCTTTCTCACCCTGCAGCTTCTCAAGTCGCAGCCCATGTCAGACCATCTCTGACTACCAAACGGACAAAACAAGAACACCAAAAGCAGCAAAAAGTCCCTTTTTTCACTTCAAGGTACGTCCATGGCTGTGCTGTGGGTGCTAACCCTGCACACCACTGAGCAGGGACACCCCCCCGCCCCGGCCTGCGACTGGGCCCGACGTGGCCGGGTGACTGAGCACAGGGCCAGCACCTGCCTCCCCGCCGCGGTACAAGCACCCCCCTAGGCAGCAGCACCTGCACTCGCGTGGTGAACAGCGGTCTCAGCAAGGGGCCAAAGGCCAGGTCAAACTGGAGTCTCTCCCTGACCTCCTGGTCAGTTTTGAAGACCATCAGATGAGTCAAGAAAGATAAGTACATGGAAAGCGGAAAAATATCAGAAGTGTTCTAACTGGCACCTACTTTTCCAAAACACCGTTAATTCTGAGTAGGGCAAAGCCTGAGCAACATCTGCCAAAGAACTGACAACATGGAAAGGGAAAAAAAACCAGTATTTGTCATGGCAGGTAGAACCATTGGCCATCTATCAATCAACTCTTTCATATATAAATACAGAGAAGATTGCTATTTTTATCTATATGTACATACATATATATATGCACATATGCAATCTGTTGGATCTAGTTATTGAGACCCTGTCTGCTCTGAAATTGAGGCAATCATTTATTACATTTGCATCCTTAGTCTCCCCTGCCCCGAAACCACAATCAACTTCTTTGCATCCCTCACTTCCAAAGTCAATTATAAAAAGAAAAAGAAAAAAATACAGTTGTTTTAGTAAACTGATACTGCTCTACTTAAGGAAGCCAAAGTAGAATTAAAAATATGCCTCCCTGAGCATCCAGCCAAGCTGACAGTATAATTTTCAGACAGCAACACGTTAGCCAGCTTAGCCCCATGAGACATGGACTGGCTCACAAACCTGTACAACAGATTTACCTGTTGGTCAGTGCCAGCCTCATCCAGGCTTACGCTCCTTCTCTTGGCAGGTCTGCTGGATTCGCTGTAAAGCGGAGGTAGCCCAGTTGCTCCAGTGTGAAAGGCTGGACAGGTGATGCAGAGAGACTTTTTTATTTTTTAACATTTGAATGAGTTGCACTAAGGTGAGGGAAAAAAATACATAAGAGGATCACTCAAGCAACATTTTTTTAAATTCACAACTTATTTCTTGCATGAGTGACACCATATGGCTTTATTAACAGCCCCATCACACAGGCCTTACTGCCCTCTCGCCGGGAGAAGCAGGGACGCCCTGGCTGCATGGCACTGAGCTCCTCCCAGAGAGGGGCAGCCGCGAGGCTCTGCCCTCAACCACATCCCCGAGCCGGGCAGACCCCAGCACAGCAGCAGCACAGCTGAGCGTGAGCAGGTTCAGGAAGCAGGCCAACACGTCAGCCCCTGCTCTCTCTAGTCCCCACTGCTAAATGGAAGGTACCACAAGGAGCACTGGGCGATTTTAGCCAAGGAGATGTTTGTAGTAGAACTGCTTCAATGAGATCATGAAGGCCAGAAGAAGAAGGGGGAGCAGAAAAAACACAGCTCAGGCTGACACAAGTAAATCACTCCATGTTTAGAGGAAATAAAAAGCGCATGAGAGTGGAAGTGATAAGCAATAGATGGGAACGTACGTGAACACAGTGTAACCATAACAAGCCTTTATATAGAGACAATATTCGATTACAGAAACTGCAGCAGGCCAAAGGCACTCACCCATCCATGCCGGTTCATCCCTGCCGCTCTGCGAGACTCCGATGCGCACACGTGGCAGCGGAGCCGGAAGGCAGCAGTGGCACTGTGCCAGGCCAGGGACCTGCTCTTCCAACGCACCCTTCCCACCACGGCTCCGGCAGCTGACCAGCTGTTACGCAGCATTGCCAAAGACCTGAAGAAACAGCATGTCTGCACACTACGCTGCAAAATCAGCCTCAATCCCAAGGGAAGCGTGACATGAAAGAACAACGTCGTAGCACAGTACTCATTCCCACTGTGACATGGGACAGCAAGTAATCCCTTGCAGTGACTTATCCTTTTGTTTATCTACCATAACATTTTACAGAAAACTACATAAAATAATAAAAATTAAAGAATAAGAATACAGCACGCCAGACACTCAGCAGGCCCAAAATCCGCTTCCAAAGGCCACACACATCAAGCTTCCTACATCGGTAGGCATCGGTCTGTGGCATCACCATGGTCGACAACACTTGAAAAGGGCTCACACTTGCTGCTGGTAAGGTGAGACCTGACTGGGAGGAGGCAGGAGAGTTTGCAAAGAGGAACACCTCAGGCCGTGCCTGGCCGACCTGCTCTCCGTACTCACCATGTCTCCTGGGCACCTGCTCCGTCCTCAAGAGAGGAAGCAGCGCGGCTTCCAGGCAGTAGCTGCAGGACAGACACGTTTATGGCCAGCAACGCTGTGGTGGGGTGATACGGCTGACAAAGCTCTTGACTTCCTCAGTTCGGACTTCACTGCCATCCCAGAGCCAGGACAGGCTCCAATCCGTGGACGCGTAGCTCTTCTCAAAAAATGCCTTTTTTTCCAGCAGTGCTGAAATGCCAGAGGCAGAGAGCCAGCCTTCCCCACCATGACCTGCTCCCACCCAATAAAAAGTACACGCAGCTACTTATCTTGCACCAGGTTCTATGTATTATCAGACCCGCTGACAGATAATAACATGACTTCTTTAGCAGAAAGCACAACACTGATCAGCAATTATTAAAAACAAACAAAACCAAATATGTAAAAAAACCACCACGCATACGCAACTGTACAGATCAGCCAGCAGGCGACAGTCTCTTTAGATTGCTAGTCCAGGAGGGCCATCCTTCCCCTCTGCGGGGGGAGCAGCCTGCAGCTTGAAATCTGTGTCAGCTAAACCTAAGCAGCGTAGTCCATGGTCACTTGGCCTCTGGGAAACCGTTTCAAAAAAATAAACAGCGTACTCTGCTGACATGTTACCCAATAACAAATACATCAGAACTCATCTGAAAAAAGACAAGTTTGCTCCGCACATGAAAAAATATCAAAAGACAAGTTGCCTTTCCGTCCTATAACACACAGTTCTGAGGCTGCTGCGTACAGTTGACACCACTAATATTTCTGTAGGTTGTTGAGTTTTTATAAGAATAACGTCAAGCAGTTTGTAACCAGACTTGCAAAAGTGAAAGTTCCTAGAAGTCCTGCACCTGTTTTTTGCGGCTTAATTAAACAGGGCTGGAAAAAGACTGGCTTACTTTGTTTTTCTGAGGCAGAGTGAAGCAGGATAGACATGGACTAACTCTGTGCCTCTGCACTGTCTGAAGGGAACACACAAAACAAAAAACAGTGACCACTGTTTTCTCTTGTTAACTTTCAAGATCTTAGATAGGCCAAGACACCAGCTCTGGATTGGCAGGCCTGTTTAGACAGGCTCTAGGAGGCTTCGAAATTTATGGCGAGGATGCCAGAAATAGCTTTCTGCAGCACTGTGATAAAGGAGAGGAGCACTGCTCCAGTGCATCGAACATTTTTGGAAACTATTTTGATTTTGACAGGGATCCTTCCAAAAAAACAAAAAAAATCAACCCAAATACTTGCCTGCAGTTTCTCTCAGTAAACAGGGTTATAAGACCTACAATGAGTAACAGTTACACAGCAGCCCCGTGACAGCTATCCAGAAAGTTATCAATAGTTGTACACCTCAGAGTTCCTCTATATATTAATCTTTATAAATACAGTATTCTACACAAGAAACTGTAGAAAGACGTCACTCAGGTATTTTTGTTCCTTTTTTTCTTTCATTTTCTTTTTTTTTTTTCTTTTTTTAGAAAAACTTGCAGGGGCTTTTGTTCAGATCTCTCCCCTTTTTTCTGCCAGTCTGAAAGACCTGTTCGTCCCCTTTCACCTCTCCCCCATCCTGGAAAAGTGCCTGGTTAGTGG